ATATTTTTTTATCATATTTTTCGATTTATGGCTTGGAACTTCTTTTTGAAAGTTTATGAGTTAAAACATAGTTATTTTGTTCTTATTTTATTTCATCATCATATTCTTTTCTTAAAATTGAGTTAAAATTTATTGAGAAAAATAACTTAGATGAATAATTAGGTGTGATTAAAAAAATCTAATTACTAGTTAGTTATTCTAATATTAAGATAGTTAGCATAATATACAATTTTTTTTTTAAAGTTCAACACACAAAAATCTACTAAAAGGGTAGATAAGTAAATTTATAACAGTTTATTCCGATTCTGAGTGTAAGTAACGCATGAATAGGATTGGGATTGATTCCGATTCCAATTCCTAGAACCTAAGTAAACAGCTTATTTTGACTCCGATTTCTGACTCCGATTCCTGCTCACTCCGAATCCTGTCCACTCCGATTGATGTCCACTCCGATTACGAATAAGTAAACATGTCCTTATTGTCTTCTCTCCAATCTTTTATTATTATTGTCACATGTTCACGAGTTAGCATACATGAATAACTTTGTAGCTCATCCTCTACTTTTTTTATGGTTTTTTTAATTAAATTTCCGTACAATTTTTTCTCTTATCGGTATTTTTGATCCTCCCTGAATAAATCCCTTTTGATATTTTATTCTTCTCACACTAATCACATCCCGACATGTTTCTAATAAGAGGAAATGAGACAAATATCCTTTAAAATATATGGATCTGGGTTTTTACTTTTTACTCTTAATTAATATCATTTTTAGTTAAATAACTATATTAATCAAAAGAATATAAATCAAGAGTAAGAGATAAAAATTTAGACTCATGCATTTTAAGAATAAGTCAACAATTTTCTCATATTTATTATTATAACAAATATATTCAAATAAAAGTTTAACAAATCAACAGATTAACATAACTAGTCAAACAACATAAACTAAATAAAAAAATAAGTTTCATCTCAAATATATTCAAATAAAACTAATCTATTTGTTCTAATGCTAACATAATGACCAAAAATAAAAAATAAAAACAACATCTAATTGTTATTAGAATCATGCTCACATATAAAGAAAATAACCTGATAATGAAAAAATCGCCATATAATAGTTAACATAACCTAATTTAAAATCATGCTTACATATAAAAAAAATAACCTAATGACAAAAAAACCTTTGTCTAATAGTCATCATAATTATATTCTAAACCTAGATAGTAATAAGTTTAAAATTAAAACAATACAAGAAAAAGCTAAAAATAAATGATAAATAAATTTGGAGGAGGAGGAGGTGTTGGGTGAAGGCGAGTGGCAGTTTCGAGCTGTGGCTAGCAGAGTCTATGAGTAGTAGGCGACGGAAGCAAGCAGTGTGAACGGTGGGTGGCACATGCAAAGTTAGCAGGGAAAGATAGAGAGAAAGAAGGACATAGAGATTGAGAAAAAATGGTGGGTGTCTACGAGCAGCAGAAGGGTCCTGGTGAAGGGGAGCGGGTGGCGAGCGACAAAGGATAGTGGCGGAGGTTTGCAACTGGGAGTCGCGCCAATATTAGACGATGATTTCGTGTTAACCGTCCTCTAAAACTTTATATTAGATGTCAGTTTTAGTGAAATTATCGTCTAATAAGAGGTGTCTAATATCAAACTTGTACTAGTGTTTTCAACCTCTCAAGAGCTCAGGAAACCTAATCACTAAAGAGGAGTAATTAATTTTTTCTCTCTTAAATACTCTTAAGTAGTTTAAGAATAATGTGGACTTCAAGCCTCTACTTACAATACAAGCTAAAGGATTTTGGATTTCATATTTGTGAATCACACACTCTTATCATTTATAAGTTATGCACTTCACATATTGATATGGGAAGTTACGATCATCGAATTCTTACCTTTGGTATATCAAAGTCATATTATATAGTCATGAAGTAAGATCATTACATAAATCATTATCGCAGTTAATTGATTTAAGTTAAACAGGATTATAAATAAAATTAATTAGTGGGATATAATATCAAAAAGCAGGTATGTGTAAATGCAATTACCTTCTAGTCTCTGCTATGATAACCAAGATAAACTATCTCCCCAATTGAAAGTGGACGTACATTATAATCTTATAAGCAATAAAGCACATGTCTTTATTGTTGGAAAATAATGGCATCGAGTGCGCAATGAAATTTAAAAAATTTAATCAATGTCAAAGCGAACCAAGAACATGTTCATGATGCTATATCACATAAATACTAAAGATCTAAATCATACCTTTTGAGATTTAGGAAATTGCAAGTCTGACTGATCAAAGCGTTCAAAACAGCGACCGGAAGAGCCTCAACCAACTGGTCTTCTTTACTATTCCCGTTTCCACGATCGGAATACGGGTGGGCACACGTCGTTCAATCTCGGCCTCTTGGTATTCTTGAACTCCTTCCAACCACAAGAGAGCTAAAGAAAAAATTGTCCTTGAGAATTAAATAATTTTTTCTCTCAGAAATCTTTTGTCAATAGCCTCCAAAAAGTCTCTCAAGTGATCTAATGAATAATGTCACTTACTGGGCTATTTATAGTGTTTAGGAAGTCATACTTTCATAACAATTAGGTTTCCCAAAGTTTATCTCGCATATAGAGTCAGTTTTACCACGTCAGCACGCACTATGCGTTACAACCAGTTGACCGGTGACAGAGACGTTATAACTCACCGGTTGACCAATCTTCATGAACCGGTCGATCTGTCTGCACTGGCAAAAGTTGTTTTCCTAGTTCTTCAATACAGAAAACTTGCACAGAGTCTCAGTTTTGATTCAAGCAACCCAATAGAGAAAGTGTTTGATCAAAACAGTCATATAATAGTCTTCACATATTAAACAACTCTTAAAATAATAATTCAACCAATTTATCTAGAATTAATTTAACAATTAATTCACCCGATAAATCACTCATGAATTAATTAACCAATCTCCTATTAACTTTGAACCTATTTTACAGAAATAACATAAGTTACCAATATGTAGGAAATACACCGTATCGTTACAGGAAATTATGTGAGCTAGCAAAGGGACCCGATAGACATATATAAATCAAGCTCCTATAATCACAATGCTACTTGAAAATCAACAAGTCAGTCTCATAATTATAAAACTCTAGCGCTACTCTACTAAAAGCCTAGAGCTGCACTCTTGATTTATATAGCGTATTTACAAAGTTTTGAGTAGCTCTCGTCCATGACTCAATATATTAGTGTATCATCCCTACAGGATATCCATAATCGACTTGGGTCAAGTTTCGTTTTACCTTCCCGATTACATTTATCTTATGTTTCATTATCACACCATCAGAAAACCATTATTCGGACCATTACAAATAGTAAACCATTAGATAACACAGAGTAGTCTAATGACCGAGTGCTCGTATTTTACAACCTACTGATAATGCATAAGAGGATATCATTGACTCTTTATAGGAGCTATGGATTCCACTATCTATGAATAACGAATCTACGCATACATGAGTCATACCCACAATGTACCCGTAAGCGTACCTTTACATAATGTCAGGATGTCTCCCTATAGTACATCAAAGGATACAAGTCAAGCACACGGGTTCATTATCCATCTCAGGATTAAGATGACAACATATAGTTCGTCAAAAGTGAATTGTTTTATTCAAACAGAATTATTAATTAAAACAATTCAACTTTGATCCAATCCAATATAGATTTATAGATTTACAAAGCATTTTGAAGGTTGGCCCATCTCGACCCTAAAACCCGACGGGCCTAGGGCCGGGCTACCCGAAATTTACAAAGCATTTTGAAGAAAAAAATATAAAAAAGATGTTTTCGGGCCGACCCAAATAAGGTTTCACGCTTGAAACCTAAGCTCGACCTAACCTGAACACTTAAACGGGCCAGGCCGAAACAGGACCGGGCCAACAATACTGGGCCTCGGGCCGACCCGTTTAACTCGGCTTAAACTTGACGTTCTAAGCAAGATTTTAATTCATAAGGATAAAAAAATTGGCTTATTTCAAAAGAGTTTACAAAGAAAAAAAACCCCATTGTGTAATTTTTTCTTTTTCATATTGAAATTTAGAGTATATATTTGTTTCACAACTCAAGTTAAGAACTTGAATTATGTATGTAAGAGAAAAACACGATAGTTAAAAAGTTGAATTTAAATTTTTATAAGAAAAAATATTGGGCCCGTTTGGTAACGTTTTCAAAATAATTTTGTTTTCAATACAAAAGTAAAAATGAGATTGTTTTGAGAATCATTCTGGAACTGATTCTGAAATTGCGTTTGGTTGGTTTTTTAAGAAATTATTTTGAGTATAATAAAAAAGTAAAATTGTGTTTGCTTATAATTATTAATTAATATATTATAACATTGTTGATAAGTACTAACAAATAAAAACAGAAAAGAAAAAATAATTTTTAATCGTTTTCTAATTTATTCACAAAAATCATTCTCATTATTTTTTATTTTTATTTTTATTTTCAAAATATTTACTAAATAAACATAGTTTAGGAACCGTTTTTATTTTTGTCCTTACAAAATGTATAAAAACGTTTTAAAAAATAAATAAAAATAAATTCTAAATGCACTCATTATAATAATATATTTTTAATTGTTAAAAATTTGAGGTGGAAAAAAGACAGCCTCATTCATCGTGAACACATTGCCACGTTGCTCAAAACCATTCGTGTGACGCTGACCTTTTCAGATCTTTGACCGTTCCCACCAAAAATCGTACGAAAAGTTCCATCATAAGTAGCCAACCAATGATTCTCCACCAGCGCAGAGTCAGTGAGTCATCCACAGTCATACGTGTCCTCTCCCTTAACAAACACGTGTCCATCTAGTCAATTCGCCCCAAAAAATAATTAAATAAAAAACAATCATAAATCATAATACGCTTTTCTTTCTGCAAAGAAAAAAACGAAAAAACAAACCGACCGACGAAGAAAGAAAAAAACAGAGCAACCGAAAATTTGCAGAGCTTCTTCTTCTTCGTCTTCTTCGTTGGTAAAATTCCTTTCTCTTAGTCTTGGAAACCCTAGCTTTTTTCAGAGACTGAGAACTTGTCGTTACGAAGTGAATTTTTTTTTTTTCTGTTGCATTCAAAGATTTCGACATTTTTGTTGCGGGGGTTTTGGAATTTAGGTTTACGGAATTGAATGTTGTTTTTTTTTTTTTTTTTCCGATTGCTTTAGGATGCGAAATGGTGAAATCATGAATTGATTATTGCTTTGCTTCTGAACATTGCTTTTGTTGGAATTGAATTCTCGTTTGATCAGTTTGTTCCTGATGGTGATCTAGTTTATGCTGATTTAGGCCTCGTTCACTTTTGCGGATTTGAGTTTTTAATTCGAGTTGAGATGTGACATTTTTTTAAAACTTTTGACTGTACTAAAAAAAAGTTAGATGTGATATTTTTGAGAGTTTTTTACAAATTTAAAACTGAAAACTCGAATCGGTAAAATGCACGAGGCCTTACTATATCGTTTATAAACGTGCATTGTGTTTCTATCTCTAAATGTTGGTTTTGTTGTCGTTTATATTTAACTCGTTAACTGAGACGATACAATAGCGAAGTATTATTATTATTATTATTATTATTATTATTATTATTATTATTTGCATTGAGGCTAATAATAGGCTTGAATAGATGTAAATTATGAGAAAAAACAATGAATAATAACGATGTACTCATGTACAGGCAGTCTTTTCATGATAGTCATTTTAGTCAAATTTATTTCTTTTTCGTGCTAATATTTACTAGATCTCTTGCTCTCTTTTTTCTTTTTATTTTATTTTATTTTTTATTTTTACTGTTTCCTTGTCGTCTTGATGCTTAAGAAAATGCCATGCTAAAGGTCTTTCAGCCATATATTTTGTCCTTTTTCCATCTTTCAATTGGTTTTCTTCTAGATATTAATTGTCCTTTAGCAAAATGAGAAGAGCTAGGCTAAAACTTGTATGTTACGCCAGCACGGACATCTTTATAGTAGTGTTTTTTCCAATTAATTTTCATTAAGATATTTATTTTCCTATATCAAATGAGAAGAACTAGGCTAAACAGTCTTGTGATTCATGACTATCATTAAAGATATTCTGGAGCTCGTTGTACCCCTCTCTCTCTCTTTACACACACACACACACACACACACACACACACATATATAACAAACTTCTGTGGAGATAATGCACATTTTCTATGTTTTATTGTTATTATTATTTTTATTATTATTATTTTTTTAAGTTCTCCTCCTTGAACTAATTCTTGTTATCTTTTCGGAAAGGGACATTTTTATTCTTTCCGACCTTTTGGCACAAAACAAAATTTGATTTAACGATTAATAATTTAATTGCTTTGATTAGTCAAAGAGTAAGTGATCGAAAATAAGTGAGAAAGGCTATTTATTATTATCTAAGCCATAAGCATCATTTATTGTGTTTTTGTCCTCTAATTACTATTCAAGCAATGTATTTCTTTTGTAGGCAATATTCATACTAGATATTGGAGGAATTTAGTTTACTACCTTAATATATTTTTCGTGAATCTTATCCTGACTTTGGTTTATTTAGGTCCCTTCAGAAGGAATGTTGTAGTATCCTGTAGCCGAGGAGAGAGAAAAAATAAAATATACGGAAATCAGCTTGCCGTTTATTTTCCTGATTTGCTTGACGATGGAAAGAGTTACAAAGGAAGTTTCACAGGGTACTTGTTACCTGTTATTTGGATTTTGTTTTGAGCTTTTTACTTATGTGGTTTTGTTTTACACCAATTATATAGTTGGAAGCCATCCTTTGTTTCCTTAAAAAATAAATGTGAAACATTGAAGTGAATACAAGCCTTTCCGTTTGTGGAATTCACTTCTATTCTGGATAAAGCTTCTTTTCGTGATAAACATGAGTGAAAGTTTTGAGAATTGGGTTAAAAGCTATCAATTATTTGTGTGCTTCTTCAGGATAGGAATCTTGGTATTACATCCATTTTCGTTTTGGAATGTTTGATCATGTATGCATTCATAGGGAACCGCTTATCCTTGTGTTTTGGTCTTTTTTGTGGGTGTTTTAGGTTGATATGATATTGTCGGTAAAATAAGATTTATGAGAGTTCAATGTATGTTGAAGGATGGCCTTTGGGTAGAAACAACAAAAAGATTTATTGTCACTTAAAAGAGTGACATGAACTCAACAAGGGGTCTCATTGTCATCAAGAAAGACAAAGGATAATTGAAATGAGACTTTTCTTTGTTTACAGAAAAAGAAGACAAAAGGTCCACATTTAACTTTGATGTATGGGTACCTTAGCCTCCAAATGATGTTTCCCACATTTAGCAATCAGAACAAGACGATGAAATTAATTTGTCTTTGAATCTTCTTTTGATTATCTTTATCTTAATTCTCTATTTAGTCAACCTTAGTTTCTAAATTGTTCATTCTCATCATGGGGCCCTCCATAAACTAAAGCAGGAGTTGGATTTTATGTAGAAGTAAGTAGAGATAGAAGAAATTTGCTAGAGCAACCGTCACCGTGTAGAAGTTTAAATGAGTCAATATCATTCCTCTCAAATTACAAAAGATACAGTGTAAAAAGAGATCAGAAACTTCAAAATTTTCAATTATCGTTGCATGAGATTGTACGAGTGACTCCCTTCTTTTTTCTTTTTTTTTAAATAGAAATATCAACAAGGGGGTTTACTAGAACATAAAGCATCTAATACATACATTTTTAAGAAGTGAAGGTGGGGAAGTCCAACTAAGGACTCTTTGACTTTTCATTTTTCTTTTATAAGTACTGGCATGGGGAATACTGTGGTGAGATATTTGGAACCAAAATAAAATAAAATAAAATAAAATAAAATATTTTTGGTGAGGACAGAAGACTAAGGCAACATGAAAGGACTTTTTTCTTCCCTTCCTCTATCTAGTGAAGTTGAACATGGATGCTTCTTTATAATTCCAGTCTTACAAGTGTTTAGTCCCATTACTGGTAATTTCTTATGGAATATGTCTTGTCTTAGTTGACAACTTACTTGGGCACGTTCTCATCCAGGTGCTCATTGTTACTGGTCATGAAGATAAACATAAACAATAACTAATTTACCTATTTCTTGATATCAAATGTTTGGCATTGCACATATGTATGCCTGCTGTTAGACTTAGAGTAATTAAAAAAGTTAGGCATGGCTGCTCGAGGCTTTGGGTTGATACTTAAAAGGGATAATGAAAAAAAGCCTTGGAAATTTAATAATCTACCTTGTGTTTTGAAAAATGCTGAGATTGTCTCTTGTGTTTTTTTAATTAGACAAAATCCTTGTTTTCCTAATGATAGAAAATTCTCTCATGATGTTACATTTAGGCAAAATTTTGTTGTGCAAAAGTATACAAATACCCTTCATAAAAGAAACTAACGTTTTCTGGGGGGAAATCCCAAATGCAATACCTTTCTTGTTCAAAACTTTTAGTATTTGGTTTTTTTTTTTTCCCTTGGAACGTTTTATGTTTGTCGATACATGACAAAGGTGTCCTTCAAATCAAAAGCATGGTTGATTAACGTTTTGTGAGGCAAAAACCCGAAGTGCAGTACAAAATTTTTTGAGTAATCAACTCTTTTTTTTTTTTTTTTTCCATTTCTTTTCTTTGGGGGTGGGGATTTGGTCTTTTATCAAGTTGTAATTTGTTTGGATTTGGTCTGAAGGGATAACATTGACATTTTGAAATCACAAACATTTCGACTAAACACAGGAGGTCTTTTGTCATAACAGTAAATTAAGCACATCGTTGTAATGCTTCAGCTTAAGTACTTAAAATGAAAGTCTGATATAGCACCTTGTTTCTATGGATTGGCAGTTTGCCAAGACTGATGAAGGTCAAGTTGCAATTTCAGTTTCATTATATTAGTAATTTGTTTCAGGTTTCACTTCCTTTTTTTGGGAACATAGATATTATATGTTTTTTAACTCTTGATTAGAAATTTGTGGTTGTCTGAGCTTTCATTTTACCAGATGAGAATGATACTAGGCTGAAAGGTGAAGCAGCTGAACTGATTCACAACGAGGCCAACAGTAAAGAGGTTCCAAAACCATCAATTTCTGTGGATAATAAGCAAGTTAAAATGGTCAGGGGAAAAGGTCGACAAGAAGTTAGCCAAGATGCATCCCCAGCAGGAATGTACACACCCGGGGAAGTAAACATGGAGGCCTCCATAATAGCAGATGATGTTATACGTGCTGGAGGTTTTGGTGCTAGAGATGATATTAGCAGTTTTCTTCCAGTGGCAAGTGATTCTACTGACTTTGAAGCTATGATACTTGGTGCTCGAGAATATGAGGAACCACAGGGTGAAATAAGCAGACCAGGTCTTGGCTGGAAAGGAACTACAGAAACAAAGTAGTTGCTACTCACAGACATGTATGTGTTTAGTAGTGCTTAGCTATTTCTTTTTTCTTTTTTCTTTTTTCTTTTCCTTATCTTTCTTATAAAAAAGCACTACTTAGCTTTTCTGTTACTTTTTGCCTGTTGGACTTGCGGTATGTTCTATGCAATTAGAATTTGGCACGCATATGGTATGTTCCGATGCAATTTGGCTATTAGACCAATTTGTCATCTGATTTGAACATATGGCATGCAAATCACATAAAATTAACTGGCCCACTATTTTATACTATCATATAATTCCATATTCATGTAGACCAATTTGTCATCCGATTTGAACATATGGCATGCAAATCACATAAAATTAACTGGCCCACTATTTTGTACTATCATACAATTCCATATTCATGTAGACCAATTTGTCATCCGATTTGAACATATGGCATGCAAATCACATAAAATTAACTGGCCCACTATTTTATACTATCATATAATTCCATATTCATGTAGACCAATTTGTCATCCGATTTGAACATATGGCATGCAAATCACATAAAATTAACTGGCCCACTATTAGTATATACAGGGGGGGTTTGCGCTATCTTTAGAATTGAGAAACAACCTTAAACAGGTAAATTTTCTATTTTTTTACAGCATCATGTTTGATTATAGATCTGATTTTTTTAAGTTCCCAACAAAATTGTCAAATAGACTCAGGTTCCCTGTTTCGCTTGGTGTCTTTTGTGGAGACTAAGAACATTTCGACGTGACCGGCACTAATTTACAGGTTTGGGAATCATTAGGCTCCAAACGACGCAGGGTACTTTCTCTGTGGCTGGTTTGCCAGGTGTGTTTTGAGGGGTATTGCCTTTTGGAATATTCTTTGGCCAGGGGCAAGGATTGCCAAAGGGTCATAGGCCAATTTTCTTTGCTGAAAAGCTTTCCATTTAGGGCCGAAGTGAGCTCGCCATTCTTCTTGGGTGCTGTAATGAGGCAGATACTGCTTAGTTCCAAGGCGAGCTTCGGCACAGTACTCTAGTATTCTTTTGTTTTGAGTCAATATGTTTTCTAAGCCATCTTTTCCGGTGGAAAATGGTGTTGCAGAGGATAGGAATGCTACCAGGTAGACTATATCTTCATCTGGTGTAACCAAGGACGTTTTATTGTTCCACCTGCTATTTAGTAATGAATTAGTGTTGCTTTCAAGATTATGACATCGGATAATTATAGAAAAAAAAAAGGAAAAAAGTGATTAGCTTGTTAAACAAGTACTTGGATTTGTTCACTGGGTATATGAGGATGGGGCCGTTGCTAGAGTAGTTAAGAATGTTGCCAAAAACCTCTTCGGCAAACTGGTTTATCTTGCTTTTTGGGACTAGAAGATTCAGCCATGGGTGAGGAATCTCCCATAATCCTTTTTGTCGAAGTTTTCTTTCTGAGAAGTGCACTCTATTTAGGAATTCAAGGTAAGAAACCTCAGATAGAAAGAGGGTGGAATGAATATAGCTCAGCTCCGATAATAAGCGTTCCAGCTTCTGCATTCAAATGTAATAATGCTTGAGGACCTTGTTAGGAGAATATTGTATCTCGATGAAGTTATATATATATATATATATATGTATATATATTACATTTGTTGGAGATGCTTACCTTGTTCACACTATCCACCTCATTTGGACTAAAGTATAAGGCCATTTCTAAGCAGTAGAGAGTTCTTCCTTCTGAATTAAACTGGCTTGCTCGAATTGGGTCCTTAGGATCAAAGGAAGATCTCCAGGTATTAAGAAGACCCGTTCTATTTATAATCACGAATCCTTCAATGTAATTGAATGAATCTTGGGATGAGATCAGGTGTTCTTGGTCCTTGGAAAATGATGAGAAGTCCGAGTACAGAACTCTAATCCACTTAATCTGTGAAAAGAGAAACAATTAATTAGTGCAATGGTCATATACTCCTGGGAAGTCGGTATATTATGTTGTATCATTTTGTGTTTTACCATCTTTGGAGCTGGTTCAAGGGAGATTCTAGCCCGAGTTATGATGCCAAACTGTCCAAGGCCTCCCAGGACAGCATAAAAAAGGTCAGCATTCTGGTTTTCTGAACAGGTAACCACTTCACCCTTTCCTGCAATAAAAGAACTTTTAGACTGTTATTCTGCCTTTCTTGTTTGCCAAGGCTTATATATATGTGCCAACTAGAACCGAGGTAGATTTCTTCAGTCTTAATGTAGGACTATATATTGACAGTATTGGTTGTGAAGAAATTATTTAGTTTGATTGAACTCACCCGTGACGACCTCAAGCTGGTAGACATTACTGATCTGCGGTCCATGCTTGAATGCCTGTCCACTAATGCCGGCATTCGATAAAGTCCCGCCTACGGTGAGGTAAAGATAATCTGTCCACGATTTGGGTGCAAGCCCATATCTAAGCGTCTCATGCAGAATATTTATCCACAACTGGCCACCTGAAACGTCTGCATAAGGTTGCTCCCCAGTGTAAATCTGTATTTCCTGTTCCTGAAGCGACTCCATGTTGATAACCACACCTTGATGGGCTTGTGCTTGACCTTGGAGGGAGTGACCGTGGCCTCTAGCGGCAACGGTAAGTTGCGAACCCGGCCCCATATCGAAAATATGTTTTATTGTGGAGGAAATATCAGAAACGGATTTTGGATGCAGAACTGCTGATGGAAGGAAATGGTGTGTATTACCAAAGTCCCTGGCTGCGTATTGGTTGTTCTCAAAGCTAAAGTAGCCATCTAAGCATAGTTTTTTCAAAGACGGAAGGATATTAGAGGAGTTGAAATGTGATGGTATTGGTGGAGTCGCCTCCAAGTGGTTGGAAGATAGGTCGATTCTATCGGGTATACAGCTCATTAGTAAGATCATTAAAAGCTTGAGGTGGATAACGTTGTTCTGTTTGAGGAATCTGTAAACGTGTGACAACATTTATACGATCATATATTGAGAGAGAGAGAGAGAGGGAGAGAGAGAGAGAGAGAGAGAACTGGCCTCTGCTGTTCTTTGTGATGCAAAGCAGGAGTGGTGTAGGAGAGCTTGAGGGTTGGAGACGAGTATTTAAAGAGAAGATTTCGGGGTCATAGTCAAACTTCTGTAGTTGGCTACAATGTATAAATAAAATTAAATGTCACGTGTCGTCACGGTCTCCTTTTTTATTTTTTAATGGTCTAATTACACACACTCATATTGTAATGCGTAGATCATGCAAGTCATAATAATACGGCACGAAGAAAAGCCATGTAGCTTTTAGCTTTAGTGTATTGACATTAGTTTTATTTATTTATTTTATTTCTCTTTAGGAGCTTCTATAGATGGCTTTTAGTATATTGACATGGGTTTTATTTTTCCTTTAGAAGCTTTCTACCAATGGCTTTTTGTATTATTGAAATGTTTTTTTTTTCTCCTTTCTTTAGGAGTTTTAAATCTGGTTAAAATCTCATTAAAAAAATGTATGCAAAACCAAGGAATACTATTACAGATGTAATGGTTGATAATAGAATCCTATATTTCATATCCAACCGGTACAATTCTCACTCTTTTCAAAGAAAGCGTCTTTTTAGCTTTCTTGTTTGGGTTCTAAAAGTTATAAGGTAAAATATTAGTCTGAAAGTTAAAAGAGGCTTTTTATTTTTTATTTTTAATTTTAATTTAAACCCTGTTAGCTGCGGTGTGCTAATTAGCTATTTCAAGCAAAGAAATATATACCACTTTCAAGAGACCATCTGACAGTCTCTTACCTGGAAAACGACTTCATATGCCGTATAAGTTACTATTTGTCATGTCTCTAACAAGTATGAACAATATGCATCAATTTTCCAGTTGCAGAGCAATCGTCCGATTGGCCCCCTACTATTTCGTTGCATGCTGTTACGACAGAGTGTGAAAGCAGCCAGAAAATGGGTCCACAGATGCGCTCTTTTTATCTTCAGCCAAAGGTATGTTTTGTGATTTTCGCTCGATCTTTTGAATTTCTTTTCCCGGCTCAAATAATAGTTGAACAATCACTATCCGAATTTGGTTCTGGGACACGTTATAGAGACGGGGCCTATCCCATGAGGGTGAACTTCTGTTCCATGTTGATCTATCTTCAATAATTTTCTTCACGTTTATGGCATTTTTATGTATCGGTAACTGCCAGAAATCCAAAATGGATTAAAGCGGAGAGAGAAAAATAAGCTAGCACTGCGTTTGGAACAAAGATTTATGTCATAATTTGGATTATGATTCGTAACTCGTTATAGTATTTTCTCTCATAAAAAACACACAAATCAGGAATAGTTCTGAACCTATGAATCAAACGTCTACTAAGGTGCGTTTGGTAGATGGATCCAGAATCATAATTTTATATCCTGATTCAGAATCATAATTTTAGATTCAGATTCAGAATCATTGTTTGTTTACAGTGATTCTTAATCATAATTTAGAATCAGTGTTTCGTTTGAATGATTTAGAATCTAATGTGATGTTTTAAATTAGCTCAAATCATGATTCTAAAACCACCCCATCTCTTGATTGAAAGTGATTCAAATTCTTGATTCTGAATCATGGTTTTAAAATCATGATTTAGGGGATGTTTGGTTGGAGGATTCAAACCATGATTTGAATCATGGTTCATGGTTTGCTACAGTATTTTCTCTCATAAAAATACACGTAAATAAAAAATGGTTCTAATCACATGATTCTAATCCATGAACTAAACGTCTTCTTAAACTCAAAATCATAAGTCATGATTTTAATTTTAGAATCATGATTAGAATCATTCTGATTTAAATTTTCGTACCAAACGAACTCTAGGTGTTTTTATTAGGGCTGATTTTGCGGGTATGTTTCAATAGGACCTTGTATAGTGTGGTCGCTGTCACGTTGACGTGACAAGATTTGATAGAATAATAAGTTAAAGGCTACTGCATGGCAAGGGAGGGAGTCATGTGGAGCCTCTTGCACGTGACCCTTATGTGGTGCTTGTGGAAAAATAAATGCCTGTCATGATCTTTGTTTTTGGTATAACGACCAGGATGACATATACATACATACATACATACATATATTTATATACATATATGTATGTATTTATGTATGTATGTATATAACAATTCCATTGGGTCTGATGGAAACATGTGAGGTAAGCCGGATGGATTCTTGTTTGATATTGTACTTTTGGCTTGGCTATGCTTGTTCATCATGAACATTTGAAGAGCACGAGAAACAATATAGATTTGCACTGTTCATGAATAGCTCAGTGAACAGTTTTTTAGTTGTTCCTTGATGAGTCTCTAGTACAATTACAAAGTTGAAAAAAATAAACATTGAACTTCCGAGTACTAATCTCTCTGTGTACTTTGGATTGGATGAAGAGTTTTACTTTTTGGTACGTGACTGAAAATGGATTTGAGGTGGTATGTTTTGTGTTGCAGAGATTGTTGGTTTCATGTCAGCCTCTATGATATTGTACAATGCCAAAGTGCAAACTTTTTTTTTTTTTTTTTTTTGTAAAGAAAATTCCGGCCAGGGAACGGAGCTATTACCGTTAGCTACTTCCCGGGCCTTACTAACGGAGTTGTGTCACTGAAAGTCCATGGATTTTACTTCTTGATCAGGAGTCATTACTTTAACCCCGACCAAATAACCCCACCAAATGTGCCAGCGGTTTGAATACGTGGGGAGTCGTAAACTGAGTATTAGGCTAACAACAATACGCCTTCACATTTTGGACTTCTTTTTTTATTTTTCAAATGGTGTGTGATTAGGATTGGTAATTTGAGTAGTGACACGACGATACAATTCAAAACTCGCACGAAGTTAGCGGATTTAAGTTTACTATAAATGAGTTTGGATCATAATTAGGTTGACATGATTAACACAATTAATAAATGGGTTGGGTTAGGGTTGACCTTTTAACACGAAGTGACACAGATTGACACGATTAACTATATGTGTCGTCTGCAATCTATATAATATGAAAGTTCATATGACATATTAAAACATAATATGAAAGTTTATGACATATTAAATACAAATAATGTGAATTTTAATATTTGTGGGTAAAATTTATTTAGTTTTTATGAAGGAAAAGATATATTGACCAATAAACATGTTAATCATGTCATGATCGTGTTAAATAAGTCATTATTATATTAGTTATTTATTTAATATATTAATTAAAACGGGTTAAACAGATTGACACGATTAATAAATTGGTCGTGTTTGTATTGATATTTTTAACACGTTTAATAAACATATCGTGTTTGAATTAATTAATAAACGAGTTGACACAAATACGACTCATTAACACAAATTGTCACCTCTATGTGTGACCCCCTCCGGGCGCAGCAGGCTCAGCCACAACAGTCCTTTCGACGGTAGGCGACCAAATTGGTGGTGCGCATGAACTCTATAGGAACCAACAACCCAACAACTAGCATGCTTTAATATGTGCCATTGCCTATGTAATGTAGGGGCCGGTTAATGAGCTTATTCTGTACGAGAAAAATGGTAAAAGAAGATAAAGACGCCTTGGAACTTGCAAGTAGTGGACATATGTGGATGATAGTTTGACGGAGAAAAAAAAGGAGAAAAAGAAAGGTAAGAATAGGCTTTTAGCTATTGGCCTAAGATCCCCAAACACTGCTGAATTCCCTACCCCATTTTCTGCATCAGCAACTTTCTGTATGGAGATCATTTCGCCTTCAGTTTCTCTTTTGCCGAGAGCTGAGAGAGTACTTGATAAGCATTTATTTCAGCAGCCGTGGAAAAACACTTGCTTTGTCACCCTAGGTCCCTCTCTACTCCTAAGATTCTGCTTCTTTTGTGTTTTAATATTTTTTAATATTGTGATGCAATTGCTCATTTGTTATGGGTCCACCGGTTTGTGATTTGGAAAAGTTTGGAAAAATGAGATAAATATTGTTTTTAAAGTGTATAAATCTAAATTTTTATTATTTATTTTTAATTCTTTTTCTTTTTATTTAAATAAATATATTAATTAAAAGAGTTATTATTAAGAGTAAGAGGTATAAATTTAGACTCATACACTTTAAAAATAAGTTTAGAAATTTTCTCGAAAAGTTTTCAGGGTCGTGTTTGTGAACATTAAGGTCTCGTTCATTTCACCGATTTGAGTTTTCAGTTCTAGATTTTTACAGTTAAAAACTCTCAGAAAATGTGACATTTAATTTTTTGTGCTACAGTTAAAAGCTCTTAGAACATATCACATCTCAGTTCGAATTAAAAATTTGAATTTACGAAGCGAAGAGGCTTAAATTCAGCTGAATGATATTAAATAAAAAAAAAAGTATGTGTAAGTGCACAATCTGATAAAGATTTGATGGTTCATAATAATGTTTTACCGGTACACTATTTTTTTTGTTTTTTTGAAGCCTGGGATTAAAATGCTGGTCTTAAAATTGTCTCTCCCCTTTTTTAAGTGTGATTCACTGAAGGTAGTGGAGATCGTACCACTTTTATATTAAAAATGAGTTTAAATTATCAGAAAAGTAATAATTGAATATCAACTCTTCAGTTTCAATTTTGAATTATCAAAAAGGTTTAAATTCCTCTAATTCACCGAATTTTTTACTCCCACTAAAACTCCTCAGAAAACATGTAACTAATTATTAGGAGTTTTACGTGTACCAATCATTAAAGAGTTGGTATTGTTTCGCCCTTCTCCATAATAACTCCCTACGAGTTAATACAGCCTCGTTCATTTTACCGATTTGAGTTTTCAGTTTTAAATTTTTACAGTAAAAAGCGCTCAAAAAATATCACATCTAACTTTTTCTATTACAGTGAAAAACTCTCAAAAAATATCACATCTCAACTCGAATTGAAAACTCAAATTTACGAAGTGAACGATGCCTACATGTAGAATTCCTATCCAATTTTACACCTTCTGAGTAGTTTTAGTGGGAACAGAAGTTGGGTGAATTCCAGAAATAACGCTTTTGATGAGGTGATATTCCAATACGAATTTTGAGAGGAAAACCATACCGGTCTTAATTTTTTTTTTTATATAATTTAATCTTAGACTTAGCATCAAGTATTACATATGTCAATTTTGATAACCAATAAA